GGGAATGAAAAACACAATGCCTGATCCCTTACTGTGAGGAAATCGGTTCCTTAAGGTTTTGTTGCTGCCATACTTTATTTTCTATTTCCTTCTCAGCTGCCGTTCTTGTTAGAGTGTATTAACCCTTCAATACAGGGAGCTACAACTTGTGGCTTGACATTTTACTTGCATTCTTCAGAATCTTACTAGAAGATCACTGTGTATGGGTTTTTACCCCCTTAAATGCAAATGTTCCTCTATTCTGATAAACCTAGCCTACATTGGAGATATGCTAGTGAAAAATGCACTGGCTACATCTAACCTACTTAACATCACGTCTCAGTGCAACCTCAAACATTCCTTGCACACTTACACTGGCCAGCTGTTGGGCAAATCACCTGACACGCCTCTTTTGTTACAAAGAGTTCAATGTTTCATGTCACTTGTTACATTTTATACCCCCAAACACGGAAGCCTCCTGCACTGTACAGCTCGTAGTATCCTGCTGAGGGCCCAACAGAAGGCTGTGCCCAGGTCCTCACCATGGAGACGGGAGAGCCTCATACTGTGAAGGCCTGGAGCAAGATCAAAACTCCACATTGCTGTGTGGTCTCCACTGTGGGTGGGGGACTTCCATAGTCTCGGCGGGCAGAGAAAGTGCCAAGAGAAGGATCAGAGGTTGGCGGGGTCTGTGTGTTGTTTATGCTTGCATTGTGGATTTCAAGCTCTTGATGTGAGGCTAGTTAACTCACTGGCTTGGATAACTGGGTGTTCTGATGAATTAGTTTATTTCACCCCCTGCTCCCATACTTCACAGTGGCTGACTAGCTATGTTTGATTTGAGAATCTTTTTCCAATTTTCATGTGGAGATAAGTGCATCTCTCTTTGCATAGTTATTTCAAATATAAATTACTAGGTAATACTGGTGAGTAGAATTATTTAGGACAGGAGGAGAAATTGCAGAATAAACAGTTGGTGACTGCTGGGCCAGAGGAAGGTCATTTGTTGTTATTGCACTAGGACGTAGTGAAACATTTTTAATGCCCTTTGACTTAAAAGAAGAAAGAGAAAATTGAACTGTGGTAGAGCCAGCTACACATTCCGGCTCTGTATCCTGGGCCAATCGCCCAGTAGTTTCAGCTTTTTCTTTTGCAAAAGGAGATCTGTTAAGCCATTTTTCCTAGGGTTGTCATGAATAGTACATGGTTGGATGTTTGCAGGTGTCACAAATATTAAATGTGTCGGTCAAGTGACACTGCAGATGTCCCCTCACTGGGTGCTTCCCTAACGCACCACACTAACTGGTGAAGGTGGCTGCTTCCATCTCCTCTCTGCCCATGGAGGATTAAGTTTGTTGTGAGATCCACCACAGTGGCTTGGTTTCACTCCCACTCCAAGCCCCACCTTGTAGATTTATGAGTTCCCCAAATCAGGATCTTTTCATGTCTGTATTTCAAGGTGTGTCCCATAATGGCTGGTGTAAAATTGAAGCTTAAATTTTGCTGAAGCAATGTTGAACAAAAATGTTGGCGAATCCATATGCTTTAAGATTAATGCGATAGTCTGCAGTGGATTACTTACAGGTGAAAATGAGCTTTCTGCATGTCTTCAGTGAAAATGAGAATGTTTTAATATTTTACAGGGTCTGGATTACAGCCTAATGCTACAATTCAAAGACATAAGCATTTGTGTTTTCCTTAGATAGGAAAATCAAAGTGTAGTGGTTTCTGAAGTACAGGGCTAGAGGGCATAATGGGTGTGGAGGAATTGAAATTATGGATTTTTAAATCGGAAGTGGCTAATGATGGTTGTGTAGCCTAGGGATCAAGATGTGCCTTAAGATGCCTGCATCCCACACGACAGTACCTGGGTTCAAGACCTGGCTCTGGATCCTTGTTCCAGCCCCCTCTAACGCATACCATGTGAAAGATGCTCAAGACACAGGTTCCTGCCATCCACACGGGAAATGTGGCCTACCCTGGCCACTGTAGGCATTTAGGGAGCTCGTTCTGTTGATCTGTTCTGTCTCTCTGCCTTTCAAGTAAATAACAAAAAATACAGCAGATGCATCGAAGAAATGATGAAACCCTTCCTGCTGTATTGCACTGTATTTCACCCAATGTGGGGAGTTCCCCCCCACTCATGTTGCAAGCCACCTCCAGGTCATATTCAGCATTTGAGTATGGATTCCATAACAGAATTACAAGGAAAGATCATGGGAAACGCAGAGATTTTGTTAGAAATTTTTAGGTATAGGGGCAAGGGCAAACAGCTCTGCACACCACATGAGAAAGCTTAGTTTTGTTTAATGCCTTTACTTTTTTTTCTTGGGGGTCTCAGTACCACACCTCCTTTCTCTCCTTTCCAAGACTAGCAGCTTCCTCTGGACAAGGATCTGTCTTGTTACCCACCCAGCAGCTGACTCTGTGGAGAAAGCAGCTTGCAACTGTATTACTGGATTTACAGCCTTATGTCTGGGTCAGTGTTAGACAAACCATCTACACCATGACCAACACCATTTATGGATTATTAGTGAAAAATTTTATGAAAGAGTTCTTTAATGGCCTCACATTTCTCTCGCCTCTCCTTTGCTTGTACAACTGTTTTTTTGCTTTTTTTTTGATCCACCTCTGCTTGCCCCAGCATATTTAATTAATACTCGGTCAGTCCTGACCCACCAGATCTTTCCATTACTGACTTGAGAAACAGAACTTCGCTGTTTTTAGCATGGTTCTTGGCATCTTGGTCTACACCCCATGCGTTTTAGCAAGTTATCTGTATCATTTAAATCGGATCTTTTTCTTGGATGCCTCTTGTGTTGGAAAAAGTAACACTTCTCCATATCACTACTTAAGAAACTCAAACCAAGCAAGTACAGCTGCTTCAGGCTCACCAGGCAGTGCTACCATTGTGATGGGGTTAGGCCTCTTTGCTGGCTTCCTCCTCGGGGGACCTCTGGGCCCTGAGAACCCTGCACCGCTCACGAGGCTAAGCCAGGACTGCCTCAGCTCTCCAGAGGGGCAAAGTTCTTCAACGAAGGTGCTCTTTCAGTCTGTTTTCAAGCCTCTAAAAAGCTGGCCCACCATAGTGTGTGTGTAAATCCATGGCTAACATACCACTCGGCTTATCCCTTCTTTGTCATGAGTTCATGGGTCTGCTCCCACTTTGTCTCCCCATTGTCCCCCCACAGTGCTCTGGCCGGACACTCATGCAAGTGGCTGTGGAGCAGCTTCCTTGTCGGTCACGGCGGGAGGTGTTCCAACACTTCTGCATCAGCGTCTCCACTGCCACTTCCCTTGTAGGTGGCAGCAGGTGCACCTTCTGCGGCTGTCCATTCTCGTTGTGAACATGCTTACGTACAGGCATGTGGAAGCACTGTGGAGCTCTTACACACAGTTTGGTTCATGCCTTTGATGGCATTACAGGTAAATCCAAGGCCATTACCACAGGCGATCCAGAATCACATGCTAAGGGTGACCGCTGGATGATGTTAGGCAACCTACTGCAGTGGCCTTTGTGTTTTCAAGTGACTCCGGCAGCTCCTGCCACGTTATACAGAAACAAGCAAATGAGGAGCCTTTCCCAAAATGCGTTGTCATTACTGCTATCAGTTCATCTAATAGAAATAGCTCCTCGAGGAAGTGTCGCTTGCCTACTGCGGGAAACACTCGGTGTGGCAGCGTGTTGAAACATTCAATATGAATTATAGGCATTTACTGCCACGGAACCAGGGAATCCTATTTCCCCCTTCAAAATCAATAGAAAAATTGCCGCTTACACAAGGTGTTCTTTGTGTTTGCAAAGACGAATGACAGTGCATTTTGTTCCAAGGTAGTTGAGACATTTCTCAAGTAATGAAGTGGTTTAATCCTCAATTTTACCTGCTCAGGTCAAGGGGTCCTGTTTGCATGTGCAAGGGTAGAGGCAATACTTCCAATAGATAAATAATACACTGATATGATTGTTCATTTTTAAAAGCAAATTTTTAGAAAATGTTGCATTTCTGACAGTAAGAACTAGTTGAAGTCAGGAACTGAATGCTCGAGTGGCAGATATTTGAAAACAGTAGGTTCATAGAACATTTTCCATTCATGAAGTTATCTTTTAACACACTAAAAAAAAATGAGTTGCACCCTGGTCAGTATTTTTTCTTTGGAATTCTGAATACTCTTTTTCATCCAGATTAGTAATTTTGCAGGGTTTCATAGTTGAAAAATTCCAGTTGAATAATTATTCTGCTGTCATAACGAATTCTTTTCCCAGTGGAGTTGCCATGATTTCTTCTTGGTCTTATGGAAAATACATGAGTATAAATACTCTTACTGAGTAAAAGCCCAATTGTATACCTGCAAAAGTTAGGTAGGCAAGCAGTGAAATTGAAGTACTCCTATTAAAATGTAGTTCAATATGGAGCTGTGCAAATACAAAAGCGCTCTTATATGTAATATATGTTAGCCTTGGTGGCTGTCAGTCACAGAAATTCAAGGAAGCTGTTGACATGTAATGTTTTTTCCTGAAGTTTTTGTGTCCTATGGAAATGCCCACTAAAGTGGGAAGCATCCACCCGTGACTCTGGAGGATCTGGGAGGAGGGGCTGCAGAGAAGCCAAGTGTCGGGTTATCAATGAGGCCCGCGGGGCAGGTGCCTGGGTAGATGTGGTTCTGTGTTCGTGCCCTCTGGATTCACCATTATGCTCCTGAGCACTGTCAGCTGCAGATGCAAGGGAAACAGCAGCAATGTCATCTGGTTAACAACGGGCTGACCAATCCCAGGACACAATGCTTTCATCACATATGAGGCAAAAGAGTGACTTAGGATTATTAACATTCCAGTGTAATTTCCACAACAAGGAATATACACATTTTAATACTCTCAGACCAGTTTAGCTGATATCAATATATATTTGGGGAGTAAGTACTGTTTTTTTCTTTCTCTCAATATCTGTTTAAATTATCTTGTAAAAAAAAAAAACAGCCAAGCATGTGGTGAGAAGTGGTCATTTACATTCAGACAATTTGCATATTCTTACAAATGTATTTAATTATAACTGCTTCAAAAGTTTCCCAGGTTTTTGAAAGTTTATTTTAACTTTGAAGACTAGACAAGGTCATACCGACTTTACAACATCCTACATGAGTTAAGTCTATATACAAAGAAAAAAAAGACAACACTGGAAGATTACACAGCTTGAATGTGTGCACTTGACAACATGGCAGACTCCAGCACTGAGTATCATATTTCATGATTTGTTGACTAGCAAAGGTACAGTCACTGGTACCCTAACTTCTCCAAAAAAAAAAATAATAATCACACCCATCTTGATGAAGTTATTCAAAAAGAGAAAGTCAATCCTCAAATTGGAATAGGTGATGGATGCCTCAAAGGGACACAGAAAAAATGGTTAACATTCAACTTTTCTAAAGGATGACTTTGACATTTTAGGGTTGGCCAATAGAAGTTAGGCTGGACAATCCACTTGGACTTCCTGCTGGTGAGACTTTTTGCTTGCTGTAGTGTGAGCCTAAGCAGAACAAATTGGCTTCACTTTGATGTCCTTGATATAAATGACAAGGTGCTACTTCATTTCACAGTAATTATCAACATGTCCATGGGTGGGAATCCCTGTGTTGTCACCATGTCTGACAGCAGAGAGCAAGTGGATGTTCCACTGGGCTCACCATATTGAGAAGGGCAAATAAAAAAATGCCCAAATCACAAGAAAACCATTTTACTGTCTTTCTAAAAGCCAGCAAACATGGTTTTTTAACTGATTCCATTGGAAAATGTGCAGTTTTTTTCTTTTAAAAAAAGGATATCAATAGAAAAAAAATTGAAAGTATCATATGAAAGTGCAAGTAGTTTAGGAAAAGTGAATCATTACAAAGCACTGCTGAGAACTTCTCAAATAATTTCATCACTAGGATGGGGCATACTCTACATAGAAAATGCCTTAAGACATAGTGGGACGTGAAATGCTGAAGGAGGCGCGCGTCAGTGGCCCAACAGGAAGTGGTTGTCTGTTTCTAAGTGTTAATTTCCAGGATGGCTTGAAAGCTCAGCCAATTAAAAATACCTTAGATTTCCAATTTTCAAGTTTTCTAAAAACAGTATTGAGAAGGTAGCAGTCTTGGTCCCGGGGGAGAAAAGCCTGGCACCCTTCCACGGGCTTCAGGACAGCTGTTCCTGGTGTCCAGCTGAGAAAGGATGCCTGTGGGCAGGGGACCACCCTGGGGCCACTGTGCTTGCATGAAAAATCTCGCCGTGATTGACTTTCTCTTGGGACTCTGCTATGGCTGAAGACCATTCCGTATATACATTGTTAGGAAATGCCGCGGACCAGTGGACAGGCAACACAGGAAGGGCCTAGTGGCTTTAGCTATGCAGCACAAGTGGTAAAGGAAAAGGAAAGCTTGGCAGCTTTGCACAGGAACTTAATATTTCATACACTCAAGATCTTTGCTTTTCCTGGACCCTTAATCTAAAATTCCAGTAACTGTCTAAGCCTTATAAAAGAAATCCTTGTAAAAGTTATAAATTGGATGAGAGGACATTTATGGAGGCGATGGGAGCAGTGAGAGCCAGGTCCATGACACCTCCGTGATCAATCACAAAGTGTTATGATCATTGCTTATTTTTTCAGAACCTTTGAAGCGAAATAAATAGAAATCAATTTTCATCTTGAAAATGGTTTACTACATTGTCATTAGTACATATTCTGCTTCTTGCCCCCCCGCCCCCAAAAAAAGAATCAAAACAAAACGAAGGAAAAAAAAATCAAAAAAACTTACACAGCGCGCTTCCTAGAAACCAATCACTGGTTTCAGATGTGAATCAAATTTTACTTTTACAGGAAATGTGGACATGAACAAAGGGTGGGAAGGCTTGATGAAGCTGTGCTGTACTGTATTAACGGTGGCTTGCTAAGGATTTTCTAAACAATTCATGATGCTATTGCAAAGTAAATGTAAGGCTAGATAAATACCGTCATAACTGGGGTTTGCATTGAAACAGACATGATACTTTGAAATGGCAATATAGGAGTCTCCCTAAAGGAAGTACTTGGAAATCACATAATGCCAACTTCCTGTAACATTTAAATGGGAGCTTCACTTTATTCATGTTAAACACTGATTGACCTGCTATTCGGTCATGTGCCATAAATAAAGCATGACATCTTTTTTTTAGGTGAATAAGGGGGAAATTTCAACTGAGAAAAATGCATTTCTTCAGGTAATACACATAATAAGGAACACAGAACAAAACCAGCAAAATGAGAATTCTCCCGTTAGAAGTTCCGCATGGATAAAGAGAATGGTCATGATTAGTGCGCACGTTACGGATCCAAGATCCTGTAACAAACACGGTGCTGGGTGGGCGCTGGGGAGCAACCAGGATAACGGCGTCACTCCTGAGGAAAGCATCCTCATTGCTAACACTGTGCCATCCGTTACAGTACATGGTGTGCGTGGACCACAAAAGCTCCGTCAACTCCTACCTGAAAGTAACGGGATGATCTTGCCCTTTGCTGTCAAGACTACTACTCTCTCTAATATCTCAACCAATGACAACAATTCAGAAAAAAGAGAAGTGGTTCACAATTAATATGAGGCTACTTACGATGTGAACAATTTAAAAAAAAAATCAAATGGACCTCATGGAAAAGGCAGGCTTAGACTCCCTAAAGACAGCTAGAGGCCCACCATAATTTGAGTACTTTCTCATGAGAAGCACGAACATTCCGTTTCCTACGCGCGTGGCACAGTCCCTTCCGTGAAGCTCCCCGGGGAGTGGGGAGGACGGGGCGCCTCACTCCTCCTCCGTGCAGCCCAGCAGCTCTGACCGCAGGGTGATCCTGCCATACCAGGACCAAGGCAGGATCCTCAGGAGCCGTGCGGAGATGGGGGGGTTGATGACGTTTTTTCTGTGGGTGTCATTGTCGAAATTGCCCTGGAAGACCTAAACAAGAAGAGCAAAGGCGGTCAGTTACTTAACCATTTCTTAGTGGAACTCTCCTCATGACTTCCGGGGCATCTTCCACATGCGTGAGACTTGAACCCTGTTTATCTTCTGAACACACTGTAGTTCCCTCTACATCAATCAGACTGTCGATAGATGTTTACGCTGAAGAGTCAGAGGAGGCATAGATTTTCTGAAAAAGGGGGAGGGGCTAGATCTATCACCTTCCTATGCCTGTCTTTCTCCGTGCTGTTGGAGCATCACGGCTGTTTGTCTTTTTGCTACGAGCTGGGCTTCCTCTGGTCAGGCAGCTCTCTGAATGTGGTCCTTTCCAAGGAGGTGACTCTCGGAGATCCGAGCTGCTTGCAGAGGGGAAGGAGAGAGGGCAGATGGCTGTTGATGGAATGAGCCATGGATGCAGCATGTCACTTCTCCAGGCATCTGTCTGAGCTTTGCTGATTCTACAGTCCCAGGCTGGATGCCTAGGGGTGTGGTGATGGCAGGACCACTGGGACTTGTGCTGACCAGCACCAGCTCCTTCACTCCCACAGAGATCTCCATTAGCCCAGCCCAAGACAGACAACAGTCAGTCCTGGTTTGGAAGTAGATTTTTCTTTATTTTCATGTATCAATTCCTAGATGCTACAATAGGTGAGCATTGTGACATATATTCTGACACTTTACATTTCATAGCTGTTTTGTTTTCCTTTCTTTGGTGATAAAGTCATTAAGAGCTATTTATAGTTATTTTCCTACCCTAAAATATGTTTAAAACATATTTCTCTTTCTTGAAAAGCCTGATTTAAAGAGAAGGAGACAGAAAGATCTTCTGTCAAGTGGTTCACTCCCCAAGGGGCTGCAACAGCCAGAATGGAACCAATCCAAAGCCAGGAGTCGGGAGTATCTTCCAGGTCTCGAATATGGGTGTAGGGTCCCAAGGCCTTGGGTCAGCCACTGCTTTCCCAGGCCACAAACTGGATGGGAAGTGGAGCAGCTGAGACATGAACTGGTGCCAATAAGGGATCTGGCACTTGCAAAATATTTAGTCACTGGGTCATCATGCTAGGCCCCCCAAAGCACTTTCACAAAATAAGCACAAACACTGCTATCGTGTTAGAAATATTACAGGGGCCCAGCGTGGCAGCCTGGTAGCTAAAGTCTTTGCCTTGCATGCACAGAGATCCCATATGGGCACCTGTTCTAATCCTGGTGGCCCCACTTACCACCCAGCTCCCTGCTTGTAGCCTGGGAAAGCAGTTAAGGACGGCCTAAGCCTTGGGATGCTGCATCCATGTGGGATACCTGGCTCCTGGCTTCAGATTGGCTCAGCTTTGGCCGTTGCAGTCACTTGGGGAGTGACTCAACAGACAGAAGATCTTCCTCTCCATCTCTTTCTCTATATCTGACTTTCCAATAAAAATAAAATAAATCTTAAAAAAAATACCATTATATTATATGTGACTAGGTTGGGGGTGAGTGGGCAGTGAAGTATTTACAAGCAAGTTTTAATGAGTCTTCCCTATAAACTCTGCATTTGTCCTTTCATTTTCCTTTCTCCTTTCTGCACCCAGCCCCATTCTCCCCTCTGTCTTAAGCGGAGAGAGAGAGAGAGAGAGACAGAGACAGAGACAGAGACAGAGACAGAGACAGAGACTGAGTCTGCATTGACCGATTTTGGAATAGCCTGAGAACAGAGCCTGGAGCTCCACCTGGGTCTCCATGTGGACGGGCCGCTGCCACCGCTGCCACAGTGCTGGGAGGAAGCTGGGTCAGAAGTGGAGCAGCAGCTGGGACTCCAAACTGTGCTAGTTCCTATTTACATTTCTGTTGCAGTTCAACTAGGACGGCAAGAATCTCTTCGGAGATTTTCACTTTTGATTACATGAGAGATCTTATCATTGGGATACAGTTTTTTCCTCTCTTGGGAGCAAAACATGACTATATAATGAAAGGGGAAACCTCAAAGTCACCTTCCCAAACAAAAAAAAATTTCTTCATAAAAGGACAAAATGCTTAACCTAAACCTTGGGATGTTCTGAAATAAGAGAAGGACTTAAAATGGTAAGAATAAGTTGGGTCAATCTTAGATACTAGCAATATGTCTCCCAGGAAAAGAACAATAGGTCTCCCGGTATTTTCTTTGCTATTCCATAACGTGGCATTGGTCACTAGCTCCCCGGACGGGCCTGGGTGGACAGCCTTTCTGTCGGTTGCAGGGGAAGATCATTTACGAGTTCTTCCCCCATGGCACGGGAGTATACTTTGTCAGCCTGACATGAAATATATCTGAAAGGCTATTTTAAAAATAAATATCTGTTGAAAGGGAATACCAAGGCCTGCCACGAGGAGCAGAATCCATCATCCTGGGATAGCTATATTCATGCCTGTCGAAAACGAATTCTACCCGCAGCCTTGCTCTGGCTTGCACTGACAGGGGGGACTGGCTGTGGTCTGAGACGTGCCAGTAGCTCAGAGGACTTCTGAGAAGCCCAGGAGCCTTGCAGCGGCCATAACGATTCATCAAAGACCTTGAGAGATGCAGCCACTGTGACATTCCAAAATGTAAGAGTCCTGTTCTGCTTTCCGGACTCCACTCTGACACAGGCTGCCAGTTTCAAAGGTCTCATTGAGAATGTGATGTTGCAACGGAATCTGGAATCGGAGGCCAGACAGTATATCCCTGTCAGAGAACTGAATGTGTGTCTTAAGAGAAACACGGTGTGCTTTCATCTGTCTGGATTGTCTACCGGTTGAGTGTGGGGTATTGAAGTCACTTATTGCTACTGTGTTACACTGTCTCTCCCTTAAATGTAATAATATTGCTGCATCTGAGTGATCTTGTGTTGGGTGCACATATAGTTGTTATTGTGCTGAATTCAGCTTTTATCAAAATATAAAGTCCTTTTTCTCTTTCTTACAGTTTTTGGCTTATAGTTTGCCTTGTCTGATACCTTGATAGCTATGCCCACTTGATTTTGGTTTCCATTTTGCCGGGTGTTTTTTTTTTTTCCCCAGACTTAAATTTTTAGTCTATGTATATCTCTGTGAAGCGAGTTTCTTATAAGCAACTTTTTTTTTAATCATCCATTCAGCCAACCTAAGCCTTTTGGTTGGAGATTTTAATACATGTATGTCCAAGGTTAGGACAGATAAGTGAGATGTGTCATTTCGTTGACTGGATCCTGAGGCTCCCTGCTCTGTGAGCGAGTTTGATGGTGTCCTGTGTTTTTGTGTGTTCTTGTAATTCAGGGCATCACTCAACATTTTTTATAGATTTGGTATTATGGTGGCAAATTCTTAACTTTTACTTATCTGGAAAATACCTTACTTCTCCTTTACTTTTAAAGGATAGCTTCACCTGATACAATCTTCTTGGCTGGAAGTCTGTTTTAAGACCTTGAATTATCATCCCACTTTTTCCTGGCCTATGGTTTTTACTGAGAAGTCTATTCATCTATTTTCCTTTATGCGTAACTTCATACTTTTTTTCTTGCTGTCTTTAGGATTCCTCGTCCTCAACTGTTGACAATGTGATTGAAATCTGCCAAAGAAAAATTTTTTTTCTTGGTTGAGTCAGCTTGGTGTTCCTTGAACTTTTGTTTGTAGGTTGTGTGTCTTTCAAGGCCCAAGAAATGTTCAGGTGTTACTTAGCAGGGTCTCAACACCTTTTCCTCTTCTCCTTCAGGGATGCTAATATGATATTTAGTTGTTTAATGTTATCCCATCTTTTCCAAACTTTCTTCATTCTTTTAAATTCTTTATTTTTTGTCTGATGGGGTTATTTCAGAAGTCTTGTCGTCTAAGTCAGAAATTCTTTCCTCCACTTGGTCCGTCTTGTTGCTACAGCTCTCAATCACATTTGCTATCTCACCATCTCATCTATTCTCTTGCATCTCAGTGAGTTTTCAATCATTTGGAGTTCTATCTAGATTTTATTCATGATCTAATTCTGAGGGATTTTTGTGTAGTTACGGGGGCTTCACACTGTCTTGCTTTGCCGTGTCTTCTATATCCGTTAGTTGACAGCTAAGGGATATAACTGTAACTGTCCCACCTTCGTATCAAGCATACTTCTGGGGAAGGATGTTATGGTTAGCTGGAATGCAGGGTATCACTCGGTTTATGGTTTGTAGTTCAAGGTAGACCTGGGAACATAATCTTTGAGTGATTTCTTTCATCGTAATCCTTGCCAGTTGTGTCTGTCAGTGCCAGTGTGGAACAGTCTGCCACAGTTGGCAGGGCAGGAAGTGTGGCGCAAAGGTGAACATTGTTTTTCCAGCGTGTGTCTCTGTGGTTCAGACTTTGGCATTCAGTCTCCCTGGTGACCTGTGACAGCCAGGGCCTTGTTCTTGATGCTAAGGGAGACGAGATCTCCTTGCCCAACTGGCATGCCTGAGTGACCCCAGGGCTTGTGGCAGCAACTGCTGTCACTCATGGGCCCTTCTCAGGTGTCACCAGGAGGATACATCTTCAGCCCAGACTGTGGGCCAGGGGAAGTGAGCAGAACCTTGCTCGAATCCAACCTGCTCAAAGCAAGCCATGTGGGAGGCTGTGTTCTGGAGGGCCTGAGCTCAGTCATACAATGCAGGTATGTTCTTCTCTAGACTCACCAGATGGATTCCAGTGGCATTGAGAGGTATACAGCCAGTTGATCCAGAGCAGAGTGGGGTCATTTACCCAGCTACCCCAGGGTGGGGGATTTTTAATGGGCTGCTTCTGATGTTAGCTCCCAGGAGCTAAAGCAATCCCACTGGCTAATGTAGAGTGAGTGTGTGAACAGTTTTGGGGCCCATTCACCCAAACTGCCACAGTTGCAGGAGGCAGGGGTTCTGTCTGTCAGAGGAGTGCCCTGGCTGCTGGTAGGAGTGGACCAGAGGCCTGCTGTACCACATTGGTTCCCTGGCAGAGCACTCGGGGGGAGGAGGGGGAGAGAGAAGCCATGTGGCTTCCCTGCTCCAGTCCTTCCAGACCCCAGGCTGCTCCTCAGGCCCAAGTAAATG